TGTGTGTGTGTGTGTGTGTGTGTGGATAGTGTGTAGAAAGCGATTATCATAAATGACTGGTCGTGGTTTTTTTTTTTTTTTTTTCCCTTTGTTATGTTTTGTACAGAAGAGGATTACTGTGGGTGCATGTCTTTCCACATGTGCGTGAGCGCGTGAAAACATTGCTCTCAAGTTGATAAAACATCTGAACCACTTATTAAAAAATCAGTTATTTTCGATCTACTTATGTTTTCTATATTGCTATTGTCTTTTTCATATCGTCGTAGTGATTTATCATTTCAAATATTTATATTAGTACTACTTTTGTAGTCATCACGGTATGATATTTTCCTGTTCGAACTATCGGTAACAACATTCGTATTATCATCATTTCACGTCAATATTTGTGGAATTGGGGAGTGGAATGTCATGTCACACGTGTCTCGTTCCTGCTCATTTGAAACACACAGGCGCGCATGCATGGAGACCAGAAAAGAGAAGGAGTGCCATGCACACTGCGCAGGAACACACATGCCACGTCGACTTCAGACATCGAGGAGGAATTGATGGAATGACCACAAAGTGTCGAATAGTAGTTCAAAGTGTGATTGATGCCATCCCAACTTCCTATATCCTCAACTGTCTAGTTAACCCCCCTTGCTTGACGGAACAAAAACACCGATGAACACACCCACCGGTATCATGCCAAGCCCAAAAGAACTTGCCGAAATCACAACAAGCAGTAATCCACACCCTGAATCTGTTACTACATGCCTCCATGCGAAACAAAAACAGCAATCAACAAGACCCCCTCTGCAATTGAATCACATCACGAAAAGAAGCTACCGTGCTGGCCATGCACGACGTCGCCGTCGCCGCAGTCGCAAGTGGAATCCCTCCAAAACCACACATGCTTTCCTCCCCCCCCCTCCCCCCACCCCCCACTCATGCCGACACCGCCGCCTTGCCACGTGTCACCTTTTAACGTCCTGGCCATGTGTCATGACATCGCAATCCCGCCAATCGTGTCCCTCCTTCCGCAAATCGAAGACCCAATCCCCCCCTACCTCCCCCCACCCCCCTACCTCTGCCTGCGCGCTGCAGCGATGTCGTCGTCGAGACACCATGTTCGGACAGCGCCGTGCAGGTACTCCCTCCCCACCAGAGGAGGTTGTAGAATGGCCACGTACGACGCGTTCCCTCACTTGTTCGTGGCGTGTTCCTCGGCATTGGCGGAAAACCTGAAACGGACGATGTCGCCGACGACGTCGTAGCTGGGGACACGCCATTCGTTCGGGATCACGTCCGACAACTTCTTAACGGACAGGATGACATCGATGAGTTCATCGTCTCGCTCGTAACCCAGGCCGCCATCCATCTTCATCGCCAGCGTCCCCTCCACGAGCACGTAATACACTCGAGTAGCCACTCGAGTCGCTTCCACGCTGAAGTCCATGCTGCGCCGACGCTTCCTGCCTCGCTCAAGCTTCGTCTCCTGAACGACGACGGACTTGCTGTCGATCGTTTAACATACCACTTCGATGACGCCAGCCATCTCTCTCTCTCTCTCTCTCTCTCTCTCTCTCTCTCTCTCTCTCTCTCTCTC